GGGTACCATGGCTTCATCACACAGCTCACAGCAAACCCCAACGCCTGGGCTTAGGTGATTCTCTTGCCTCAGCCTCCCGAGTAGCTGGGACTACAGGGACCTGCCACAACGCCCGGCTGTTTTTTGTTGCAGTTTGGTGGGGGCTGGGTTTGAACCCGCCACCCTTGGTATATGGGGCCAGCGCCCCACCGATTGAGCCACTGGTGCCGCCCTCTCCACACCCTTTTTAAATATCACAAATGTCACCTCAGATAAGAGTTATAGGACAGAGTGAGCCCTTTATTTTATTTTATTTGTTTATTTATTTTTGAGACAGTCTCACTATGTTGCCTTCAGTAGAGCACTGTGGCATCACGGCTCACAGCTACCTCAAACTCTTGGGCTTAAATGATTCTCTTGCATCAGCCTCCCCAGTAGCTGGGACTATAGGTGCCTGCCACAATGCCTGGCTATTTTTTGGTTGCTGTTGTCATTGTTGTTTAGCAGGCCCAGGCCAGGCTCGAACCCACCAGCTTCGGTGTATGTGGCTGGTACCCTACTTACTGAGCTATGGGCTCTGAGCCGAGTGTTTCCTTGTATCAGCCTCCCAAGTAGCTGGGACTACAGGTACCCGCCATAACGCCCAGCTATTTTCTGTTGCAGTTGTTATTGTTGTTTAGCTGGCCTAGGCGGAGCTTGAACCTGCCAGCTTTGGTGTATGTGGCTGGTGCCATAAGCACTGTGCTATAGGCATTGAATCAGAGTGAGCCTTTTAGAGTTTGAAGAAAGCATATGAGCTGGGCACAGTGGCTCATGCCTGTTATTGTAGCACTCTGGGAGGTTGAGGTGGGAGAATTGCTTGAGCCAAGGAGTCCAGGACCAGTCTGAACAAGAGTGAGACCCTGCCTATCCTAAAAATAGAAAAATTAGTGGGGCATTGTGGGGGGTACCTGTAGTCTCAGCTTCTGAGGCAGTAGGATTGCTTGAGCCCAGGAGTTTTAGGTTGCTGTGAGTTCTGATGGCACCACTGCATTCTAGCCTGGGCAATAGAGTGAAACTCTGTCTCCAAAAAAGAAAAAAAAAAAGAAAAAGCATGTGGGGTGGCACCTGTGGCTCAGTGAGTAAGGCGCCTGCCCTGTATATTGAGGGTGGTGGGTTCAAACATGGTTCAGGCCAAAGTGCAACAAAGAAATAGCTGGGCGTTGTGGCGGGCGCCTGTAGTCCCAGCTGCTCCGAAGGCTGAGGCAGGACAATCGCCTGGGCCCAAGAGCTGGCAGTTGCTGTGAGCTGTGACGCCACGGCATTCTACTGAGGGTGACAAAGTAAGACTGTCTCTGGAAAAAAAAAAAAGAAAGAAAAAGAAAAAGCATATGATGGCAGTACCCATGGCTCAGTGGGTAGGGCGCCAGCCACATGCACCGAGGCTGGCGGGTTCAAACCCAGCCCCAGCCAGTTAAAACAACAATGACAACTGCAACAACAACAAATAGTTGGGCATTGTGGTGGGTGCCTGTAGTCCCAGCTACTTGGGAGGCTGAGGCGAGAGAATCACTTAAGCCCAGGAGTTTGAGGTTGCTGTGAGCTGTGATGCCATGGTACTCTACTCAGGGCAATAGCTTGAGACTCTGTCTCAAAGAAAAAAAAGAAAAAGCATATGATGCCTGTGTTCTAAGACACCGGAATCTTCCCCCTCCAGTTTAATCATTCCAGAGAGCAGTATTCCAGGGAAGGAGAGACCTGCAGTGGGTAGCCAAAGACTGGTTGTGGGTCTTGCATTTCCAGCGGTGTCTGTGACTCTCGTGAGAGGCAAGGAGACTATTCTGACCACACCCACTAGGACAGTAAATGGTATGCCAGTTCTGGAGGGAGACTGGAAACCAGCCTGAGCTCCCAGGCCTGCCAAGACTTAGAGTCCCACAGCTGTATGTCTTGCCTTTTGGGCTGTTGCCCCAGGCTGACTCTAGGTCAGTTTTCTTCTGGCCCTGCTTTGTGTGAGGTTGGCTGGGATAAATGGCCCTTTCCTCTGTCTTTGTCAGCCCAGAACTTTTGCTGCTCTGAAGTTGGGCTGCTGCAGCAGCAGTTCAAAACAGCCCTTCCTTTTCTATCACTAAATATGTTGGCCTCTCTCACCCTCACCCAGATGATCTCCAGGAGAGAAGCATGACTGAGGACATATGCTGGGATGTCTTTCCTCAGTGGTCTCTTCTAGAACTCTCCCCGCCCAGTGACAGAATGTGGCCCTGGAGGAGCTGGAGCTGCCTTCCCTAAGACAGTATAGCCTCCCAGATATTAGAAATAGTTTTCCTGGGCAGAGAGAAGAGCATGAGACTTCTCTACTTTCTAGGTCCAAATCAGCCATAGTGCATCTGTGTTTCTAGAACAGAGGCCTCAGAGATAAGAGCCTGCACCTACCAGCCCTTATCTAGATTCCCCAAGTAGGGGGGATCAGGGTTACAGCGAGGAGACAGGAAGTATACAGATACAGGTCAGAGAGGGATGAGTTCTGCCACAGCATAGCTGTTCCCATTCCTCTGTGGCACCAGTCTGTGCAGGCTGTGCCTGTGCCATTGGAATAACTGTGATCACAGTGGGTCTGTAGGTTTTGCACAGTTTCTTCCCTGATAAAATCTGGAAAGTTTAGGCGTTCAGCAGGAGTGAGAGTCTGGAAGCTATGCTTTGGGCAAAGTAGTCAGCACCTTGCACGGATGGCTGAGTGCTGTTCCCTTGCCCTTTATGTGCCACTGTGGGCTGAGGGGCTAGTGGTTCAGCACACCTGAACACACTTGGGAAGGCTCCTCTCTGCCTGTGAACCTTAAGGAGCAGCTTCTCAGGGCAGTGCTAGCTCTAGCTGATCCTCTTTTTGAAAGCAAACTGCAACTGTTTCTCTCCTGAACTTCCTAAAGCATGTGGAGAAATGACAGCATGTACCTTCAGTCTGTGCTTCTCAGGCCTTTTACCTTGTAATTCTGGTGATTCTATATCCCTAACCTGGGGAATTGCTTCAGAAGGGCTCCTAATAGAATCTTCCATCAGCGGGAGGGCTGAGCAGCTCCATGAAGCCTTCATATAACCCTTCCTCTCTGGGGCCAGTGGGGGTATGGTGCTGTGATATTTTGTTAATTTATTTTCATTCTACCTTTTTTTTTTAACTTTAAGGTTTTCAGATGTTATTCTGGCAACAATTTTGGCAACCAAGTCTGAAATGTGTGGCCAGAAATTTGAACTGAAGATTGATAACGTTCGGTTTGTTGGACACCCAACACTGCTACAGCATGCTGTGGGGCAGGTATGGCGCCCTGGGCAGATGTGGCCCTCCCTAGGCAAGCAGACCTGGCCCATCCCAGTTGGGGGGCCTCAGGACTGAGGCTGATGTTGGCCTTGGTGAGGTAACCATTGGCTGGCAGACCTGATCACGTACTTGCTATGAGCTGTGCATCTTCATAGGCCCTGGAGGTCTAGTGGAGAAAACAATGGGCAGCTTTGCCCCAGATATTTCAGTCCCTGCCCCTAGCTTGTGCTCTTGCATTCTGGGTCTCTACTGACTATGTCCTTATCGCTTATATGTAGGATGTCTCTTTGCAGAGGGGCCAAAAGAATAAACTAACCAGCATCTGTTAGACTCTTGAACTTCCTTCAAAGTGGTGGTACAAGCATTTCTTCTTATTAAATGAAGAAGAAGAAATTCTACAGCCTGTATTATTATTATTTAGCATTTACTATTGTGCTAAACCTCTATGTTCCCTGATGAATCAGTGTCACAACACTGAGGAGTGTCAGCAAAAAGGAATGCATTGTTCCCCAGGAGGACTTGTATACCAGAGCCTACCAGTCAGCTCTTTGTATGCAGGCAGGATCCAAGATAGCATCACACAGATTCTGAAGGGTTTCATGTGACAATGTAGGATTTATCTACATTTATATGATGTAGAAATTCTGTGAGGTTCTGTGTTGTAATTTGCAAACCTCAATGAATAAGCCTATGGAAGGAGCTTCTGAGGCAATTGGATGTGTTTGGCCTCACAGACAGTGCCCTTCTTTTTTTACCAGGGCCCCCATAGCTGGGGTCCAGACCCCTGTCTGAGTGATATCCATTCGTGCCCTGTAGCGCTGGAGATGCTGGCAGGGGCAGGGGTGTGTGTTGGGATGGCTGTGGCTCTCACTCCCCCTGGTGACAACACTTGTAATTGACCCAAGAGCTCTGTGTTGCCTGTTTGTAATGCTGCTTTTGAGTGCCTTGGTTGAGGGATCAAAAGCACAGAGATAAGTACATGGAACGCCTCTGCTGGCCCTGAGCATTGTCATATTAACTTGTTTTGAGTACTTGTCACACCTGATAGGTAGGTGCAGGATACACTGGGGATAGCAGGGGTGGGTCAGGGGTGGGCCTGGGTCCCTTACCCATTCACACCTTCTACATCACTTCTCTCCTGGGCATTGTCAGCTCACTTCTGTGGACTGGTTGGTCAGAGCACTGACCTCTTCACTTTTGTCATAGTTATGATGCTGTGTCCAGCAGGCACACCTCTAGAGCAAAGTCACTAGTTGGTTTTCAGAGACCTTGGGGCTCTGTTTTTTCTGGTTCTGCTATATTCTGGGCCCTTTCCCTTGCTGAAGTAGAGCAGCTCTAAAGAGCTTTCCCTGGAAAGTTATAGCTCTCAGTTTATTAGAATTCTGCTTCTTTTACAGGTCTCCAAAATAGATCCATCCCCAAAGAGGGAGGCACCTACTATGATTCTTTTCAATGTGGTATTTGCACTGAGGGTGAGTATTTATATACATGGCTTAGATCAGGGAGGAGGGTGAGGGAAAAGCAGCTGTCTCTGATGACTGTGCTGTTGCCTTAGCGCTCAGTCTGTGACAGGGTATGTGCTGGTCCTCCTGGGGCATAGGCAGAGTCTGCCTGACTGTTTACTTCCTTTTGTTTTGGTAAAATACACATAACATCATTTACCATTTTAAAGTGTACAGTTTGATGCCGTCAGGTACATTTATCATGTTGTGAAACCATCACCACTATCTAGATTCAGAGCATTTTCAACACCTCAAAAGGAAACCCTTGTACCTATCAGCAGATACTCTCCATTCTCTCCTTTCCCTCCCAACCCTGGAAACTACTAGTCTGCTTCCTGTCTCTGTGGATTTATTTATTCTGCATATTTCATATAAATGAGATCATACAGTACACAACCATTAGTGTCTGTCTACTTGGCATGTTTTTGAAGTTTATCTGTGTTGTAGCATGAATCAAGATGCTAATCCCTCTTAGGGCTAAATAATATTCCTTTCTGTGCATAGACTTCTCTTTGTTTATCTGCTTGTCTGTTGGTAGACATTTGGGTTGTTTCCATATTTTGGTTATTATGTACAGTGCTGATGTGCACATTTGTGGACATGTTTTTGTGTGGACACATGTTTTTATTTCTCTTGGATATACACACTTAGGTGTGGAATTGTGGGGCATGTGGCAACTCTGTGTTTAGCCTTTGGAAGAACCACCAAAATGTTTCCCACAAAGGTGCCATTTAACATCCCACTAGCAATGTGTGAAGGTTCTAGGGTTTTGGTGTCTTTACCACCATCTGTTATTTTCTATTTTGTTGATTAAGCCTAGTTGTTTCTTAAAACAGCCCAGGTTCTGAGGTTGTTCTCGCCACTTACAGGAGATGTAACTGGTGGAAAGCCTGTTACAACATAAGGATCCAAATAAACAGAAAATGTACCCCTGGGTAAGGACTGGCTTATGTTATGAAGAGACTCTGAAATACCTAGGAAATTTGTATTCAGTGATGGTTAAATAACAGAATTCTGAACTATCTCACTATCAGTTTTTACCAAAGAATCCAATAGTTTTTTCTAGCTGGGCATATGTGATTTGCACAGTGGCTTACATACAGAATGTGACAGCAAGGAATTGACTAGATCTCAGTGACAAAGAACAGTGTATTCTCTGACATCCTGCACTATTGGATACCATTCTTGCCTTTAATGCTGAAAGGTGTAATCAATAACAAAAAAAATTAGACACCATTCTAAATTTCAAAGTGTTTTTTTCCCATTGATGCTTATTTGGTTTGGAGACCATAGGTCTCAATGTAAATGGTTCAAAATCAAAACAATGATAAAGAGAAACTATTTTTAAATTGAGCTTAATTTTTTTTAGAGACAGAATCTTATTTTGTCACCCTCCATAGAGTGCTGTGACATCACAGCTCACAGCAACTTCCAGCTCTTGGGCTTAGGTGATTCTCTTGCCTCAGCCTTCCAAGTAGCTGGGACCACAGGCACCCACCACAATGCCCAGCTATTTTTTGTTGCAGTTTGGCCAGGTCTGGGCTTGAACCTGCCACCCTTGGTATATGGGGCTGGCGCCCTACTCACAGAGCCACAAATGCCACCCAAAATGGAGCTTAATTTTTAAGATTGTCTCAGTTTGTTGATAAATAAAGACCTGCATATTAAAACAAAAGGCTTTTTTTTGTTTTGTTTTTTGAGATAAGAGTCTAACTTTGTCACACTTGGTAGAGTGCTGTGGCATCATAGCTCACAGCAACCTCCAATCAACTCCTGGACTTAAGCAATTCTCTTGCCTCAGCTTCCCAAATTGCTGGGACTATAGGCACACACCATAGTGCTGGCTATTTTTTTTTTTTAGAGATGAGGTCTCACTCTGGCTCAGGCTGGTTTCAAACCTGTGAGCTCAGGCACTCTACATGCCTCAGCCTCCCAAGTGCAGCAAAAGGCTTTGTTAATGGTGGTTGTTCCTGTGGTATCAGATTCCAGCAAAGGATCTTCACTTTATGCTTAATACACTTTCACATGTTTGCATTTTTACAGTATCTTTTTATTTGCTATATAATTACATAATACAGCCACAAAGAGAGATAAATTAAGTACAAAATAAGCATGTGTGAGCCAGGCACAGTGGCTCCTGCCTGTAATCCGAGCACTTTGGGAGGCTGAGGCGAGAGGATTGCTTGAGTTTTGGAGTTGGAGACCTGCCTAAGCAAGAACGAGACCTCATCTCCACTAAAAGTAGCAGGCAGGCACCCATGGTTCCAGCTACTTGGGAGGCTGAGACAGGAGGATTGCTTGAGTTTGAGGTTGCTGTGAGTTAGGCTCACTGTTTAATCATTCCTTAACTACTACTAATGCCATGGCACTCTAGCCTGGGCCTGAATGACAGTGTGAGACTGTCTCAAAAAAAAAAAAAAAAAGGCAAGTGAATAAACACGGTCTGTAATGAATTGTGTCCTCCTGTCAGCAGTGATAAGCCCTGTGGGATGGGGGTGAGAAGCAGCCTTGGCCCCACCCGGGCGTTGCAGGCAGCCTGTCATCTCTGGGAAGAAGCAGAGAATGTATGATGCTCTGAGGCCTAGAGTCTCATCATAAGGAGTGTTACCAAGAAAACAAGCAGCTTTTCTAACTGTATAAAGATTTTTGTAATAATAATTAAATTGGAAATAATTCTGGGTGTAGTAGTTAAGGAATGATTAAACAGTGTAGTTATGATTATATACTGGCCCATCCTGTGGCCATTAAGGAAGAGACATGGGGATGAGGCCAGAACCTGGAGAAGGACGGATGGACTACTGCCAGGTGGATGCAGCAGGAAACAAGACAGTATAGGGCTTTAGCTGGCCCTGATGTGGGAGAGTAGGAAAATTTTTATTTTTTTGAGACAGAGTCTCACTATGTCACCCTTGGTAGAGTGCTGTGGTGTTACAGCTCACAGCAACCTCAAACCCTTGGCCTTAAGTGAGTCTTTTGCCTCAGCCTCCCAAGTATTTGGGACTACAGGCGCCTGCCACAATGCTCAGCTATTTTTTTGTTGTAGTTGTTGTTTAGCAGGCCCAGGCTGGATTTGAACCCGCCAGCCCCAGTGTATATGGCCAGCACCCTAACCACTGAGCTATGGGCACTAAGCCTGGAAAAAAAAATTTTTTTTTTTTTTTTTGAGACAGTTTTGCTATGTTGCCCTTGGTAGAGTGCTGTGTTGTCACAGCTCATAGCAACCTCAAACTCTTGGGCTTAAGTGATTCTCTTGCCTCAGTTTCCCAAGTAGCTGGGACTACAGGAACCCACACAACACCTGGCTTTTATTGTTGTTGTTGTTGTTGCAGAACCCTCTAGCCTGGATGTATATGGCGGGTGCCTTACCCACTGAGCCACAGGCTCCGCCCGTGATGAGCCTGGAAAATTTTAATAGTCTAAGGAGTTGGTGTTTCAGGGTGGACATGTTTTTTCTCCTGTCAGTAGTCATTCAAAAATGTATACTTCTTTACTTTGAAAAGTTGTTTTTTTTTGCAATTTTTGGCCAGGGCTGGGTTTGAACCCACCACCTCCAGCATATGGAGCCAGCGCCCTACTCCTTTGAACCACAGGCACTGCCCCAAAAAGTTTTAAACAAACTATAAACTAGAGAGAATAGTCTAACAAACCTTATGCTCCTGTCTCTGAAGTCTCATAGCAGCTGCCTTTGCACACTCCATCTCGTCCTCCCCTTTCTTTCTTCCTTTTTTTTATTTTTTTGAGACAGAGTCTCACTATGTCACCCTTGGTAGAGTGCTGTGGTGTCACAGCTCACAGCAACCTCAAACTCTTAGACTTAAGCGAGTCTCTTGCCTCAGCCTCCCGAGTAGCTGGGACTACAGACACCCGCCACAATGCCCAGCTTTTTTTTGTTGTTGTTGAAGTTGTCATTGTTGTTTATCAGGCCTGGCCAGGTTTGAACCCACCAGCCTTGGTGCATGTGGCCAGCGCCGTAACCACTGCTATGGGTGCTGAACCCCTCCCCTCTTTCTTTATTTCTGGGTGACTCTCAAACCTCATGGCTATTTGTACTACATACTTCAGAAGGCACCTTTATAAAATATGGACACTTATTTTATGCCATGATACCCATTTTACATCTGACAGAATTTGCTGTAATATGTTGATATCAATTATTAACCTGGTTCACTGAGACTTTTCCTGATTGCTAAAACATTTTTCTGAGTTAGGCTGTCTGAACCAGGATGCAAAGCGGCATCCCTGTGCACAGCCAGGACTCTCCTACCCTTTCTCCCACTGAATGTTCCATGTTTGGACTCATCTCATTGTGCAAATAGTCAGACTTGTGCTCTATCCCTGCATTTCCTAAAAGCTAGAAGTTAACTTTGAAGGCTTGGTTACATTTGGGTACGACGTTTTTGGGGTGAGAAAGTCTTACAGGTGATACCCTAAATCTAATGCCACTTCCTATCACATATGGTAAAGGTGTGCAGTTTCTAAGAGTTCCCACTCAGGGCTGGTACACTCTGGATGGTAGCTTTCTCAGCATGTCCTTTATTCAGTGTTGAGCTGTGTAGAGAGGACATGTGGAACACCCTGTCATGCAGGTCGTGGAGATTTGCCCAGGGCAAGCACCAAGTCTGGGAAACTCTAGCAGCTGGTCCCCGGATACATAACTTAGAGCTGCTATGGTGGTTGTGCTGGCCGGACTTCCAGCAGAGGATCAGGGTCTCAGCTATGATTTGAGTACTTCTTCATGGGAGTAATCATCTGTCCAGGGTCATCCTCTCCCTGCTTTACTGGTGGGTGTATTTTTTTTTTTTTGAAAGGTCTTTATTGGTGGGGGAGGGAGGCTGCAGAGCAGCACCAAGGAGGAGAGAAAAAAGAAGAGAAAAGAGGAGAGAAAAAGAGGAGAGTGAAGAGGAGAGTGAGGAAGAGAGAGGAGGAGAAGAGAGAGAGAGAGCTGGTGGGTGTATTTTTATACAGATTCTTCCAAATACGTGTTTTGTATATACCCTATAAATAGGCCTTCCATTTCTCAGGACACTGTTGAGAGAACAACCTTGACAAGGAGGGCAGGTCTGCTGCCCAGTGGTGGGCACAGCATAGGAGCAGTAGTCCTCCCCACCCCTGGCTTGTAGCTTTGTTGTAATCTGCCCAGTTATGAGTTCTGTTTCTGATCATGGGATCTGCTGAGAGTAGGAAATCTCTCTAACTCCAAGTAAAGAAAGTGTTTACTGTCTAGGTCAGGTTTGGGCCCTAAAGTCTGGCTGTGAACATTTTGGGCATGGCCCTACCTACCAGATAAACAGGAGCAGAGGCAGCACCAGGGATTCTAATCAGAAGCAACCATCCATCCCTCTCCCTTGTCCCATCTCCACCCCCAAAGATGACTCAGCAGCCCTGTTTACCTCCATAAGTGCTGAGTCATGGTTGACCTGATTATCAGCTCCCTCTAGTGCTCTCACAGGCCCCACAGCTGCACACTCCACCCTCGGCCTGGGCAGGTGTGGTTGCTTGGTTGACTGGTCCTTGATAGGATAAGGAGGGGTGAGGGCCTGTCTTGCTCCTGAGAGCCACCTGTACCCTCCTTTGACCAAGTCAACATGGGTGCAGGAGTGTTGGGAAAGGGGCATAGACCTCAAACCTGCTGGCTTTCTCATTAACCAGTGTCATTTCTGCTGGGAAGAGTGTTCATCCGTGAGAACAGAAAGTGTTCAGTGAACAATTAGTGTAGAACTCTGTTACTGCACCGTGCACCCATGTGGTGATGTGACTTGTTGCGACTGAATTCTTACATATTATACGCCACTCATGCCTACTAGTACTCAGCACAGACTACTTCCAGGGGTTTTGCATAGGCAGGCTCTTGTTCTGAGTAACTTTATGAGTCCAACTTATGCCCTCCATTCAGGCTTTGGTGAGGGAAGTGGATTGCTGTTTTTCCCAGATGAGGGCTTGTGACCTAGCATTACACAATAGGTGAGCAGGGTATGTCCCTCTGCTGCACCCTGCCTTTCTTTACAGACCTGCCATAGTGGAAATGCCTGTGTGCCCCACACAAGAGCCCCACAGAGCCATTCCTGTGTTAGCATCTAGGTGGACATTCCCAAGATAGAGAGGATGGGGGCTGGTGTTTCTGTGAGTGGGCGCTGGAGGGGACTCAGGAAACTGGGGACACCCCTGCCCCTGGAAAGGAGCCTGGAGGAAGATAGGAGAAAGTTTCTTTCATGGTTTGAGTTTTTGCTGTGCATATGTGTTAGTGCCACTTAAACTGTGTGGAGGTGTGTCCCTTGAGTCTGAGAATGGCCTCTCTTCTACAGGCAAATGCTGACCCATCGGTGATAAACTGTCTGCACACTCTCTCCCGGCGCATCGCCACCGTGCTACAACACGAGGAGCGCCGCTGCCAGTACCTCACTCAGGAAGCCAAGCTGATCCTGGCCCTCCAAGACGAGGTGTCTGCCATGGCTGATGGTAAGTGTGGTGCAAGGTCATGGGCATGGGTCTAGGCTGGCTATGGCCTCTCTGCAGTGTAGATCTCTGCAGAGGGGCTGTCAGTTAGTGTTAACAATGCAGTCAGGAGCTGGGAATAGCATCAGCATTAGTTAGGGATTGGAAGGGAAGTCCTCACAACAGCTTTGCAGAGTTGGGGCCATGATCATCCCTATTTTGCCGATGTAGATACCGAGGCTAGAAAGGTACATTATCTTCACTTGGGCTGATTGATTGTGCCTAGGGGATACAGGAAGGCTTCCCAAGGGGCACATTTGTAGGTCTACTTCCTTGCATGGATATGCTGAAATTGAGTTCCCAACTGGAAAATTTCCTCTTCTCCACGCACCACTGGATGGTGACCCTTCATGTGGGACAGGTGCCTCTGCCAGCCCTTGTCCTGCTAGACGTGTTACCCTGGGGCAGGAAGACCCAGGAGGAGCCTCTGGGAATATCAAGATGACAAGGTCAGTGGTTTGTGGGTCTTTGCTTTCAGCCAAATTGAAAGACAACCTAGGCTCAGCGCCTATAGCTCAACCGGCTAAGGCGCCAGCCACGTACACCTAAGGTGGCGGGTTCGAATCCCCAGCCCGGACC